AGAACAGTGCAGCACACAGCTTACGGGATTCCAGCTCAGTATCCAGTACTTCTGACCAAATTCTCATGAATTTCTTCAGCTTTGCCACATGATGGGAATATGCTTCAGCTCGCAAGTCAAGATAGGCTTGGTCGAAACGAAAAGATTCTCGAATCTTCTCCGTGCGCGAGTCTTCCATTGGCCTGTTGCTAGCCGAAAAGCCTCTCACCACAGCGACCATCTTCATATGGGATGCCCATGTTGGGACCCAGTAACCCACCTGAGCTAATACCGATGATTTCACACGGTACTTCAGAGCTTAAGCTCCGGTAGACCGAACGTCCAGGCATCGGAGTATCAACTTATTTGCTCTAATTTGGACTCTTCAGGCTCACTGCGATTTTTGTTGGACTCGTGCAGGGGCACTATGGGAAACATTGAGTTGTGAAGATTGTTGCCAACAATTTGTTGGTGAGTTCATTATTAAGGGTCGGCAGTCTCACGGCACACTTGAGGATCTGTCTTCATGTCATTTAAGAATCGTTGCGTCATTTGCTATCGTGTACGTTTCATATGTGCGGGAGTATTGTACACGTTCACCTTCTACGTACTGTGTAGTCATGTGCCATCACACCACCTACGACACTATTCGCAACATGTTCCATCTACATGTAGCTTCCGATTCGCGTTCTGGAATGACTTGTCAATTCATTCGATTGAATTCTTGTGTGCTCGGGATTCACACACAGTTCATATGCTACCTCATAATTAGTTCGAAGTCACTGCTTCAATACAGGTTCGTCTTCCATCCTCGATTGTTGAGTCTAGTAAATATCTGCTAGAAAGCGTGCCGTACAGTCCAAGCACGCTGCATTGCCGCACAGGGGGAGATATTATGCTTCGTTTCAGTTATGGGTGAGAACTCACTGAATTCAACTCGGTCCCTTTCGACACACTCCCTTACACAACACAAATCATATGATAAAGCAACTTTGTCGACATCGCAGCAATCGTACTATAGTCAAAAACGTGTAACATGCCCCGGTACAGGGCAAGCTGAGACACAAGACTTCCTCGTAGGCCTAGTCAAGATAACAGCAGAATCAGACTCAAAGTCAGTTGACAATTCGACTGGATGAATGCACAAGATAAACGTCAAAGCAAAGCACTGAGAAAAAAGCTTGCTTCAGCTGGCTACAAAGTCATCCTTATCATGACAGGATCGACCCCGTTCATGCATTGACTTAATTCTTCCAATCACCGTTGTCTCAATGAATTCATAGAAGTCTCTATTTTGCTCCATACGAGTGGGATACTCGGTGCTCTCAAAGTTATCTGAGAGCTTCTCTATGCTGTGGAAAATATACTTGGCATATTGCTTGCATAACCATCCAAGAATCTTCTCAGGTATCTACACCTTAACACATTCACCCGCTCACACACCAACGTAGCAGGCGATCTCACGTGTATCTTGGGATTCGTTTCTGCTAGTATAGTAAAACTGGTCGACTTCCCTCCATCAATCGGCTTCATGACGAAAGATAGAGTCTCCAGCTCCGCTCGGATCCCCTTCATCGTCGGCACAGAATAGCCCCAAAACTCCTTGCTATCTTCGGGTATACCTCTACCTACCATTCTATGAAGTATAGCAAACGAGCGGAGAAGCTCACCGCCCTACCGTAAATTATTATCGACTCTACCCCAGGCTCATCCAAGGCATCACATGCAAAGGCATACCTGAGGCGCTCACACTGTGATAATTGTTCACCACCATAGAATGCGTTTCGCATGACAGGCTTGCAGCAGTGTATGAGGAAGGAGGAACTTGCCACTCACATCGAGGCCCAACGAGAAGGGACGAAAGGGATCGGTACGGAATACTCATGTGTGACCATCATTTGGCACCGACGACCACACCCTTCGATCACGTGATCGGTCCACGAGCCGGAGAGGAATGGAACCCAATTAGGGTGGAGATCGACCTGATCAACGGGTCTTCATCAGGTCACCACGCTACACGAGATCTACCTCGCGGATGAGGCTGATTATATGATACGTTGGATTATGCAGAATGCCCTGGATCTTTAAAGTCAACATATCTGACATGCTCATCAAGACAACAAAGGCATGATGCCAAGTCCACGGCCTTCCTCACAGTCTGTGTCCTGCTTGAGCCAAAGCTCCTTCTCAGACGAGAGTTTCTCGTATAGCCACTTGTCAGCCCCACCGCAGTCTGAGAAGAGAGAGGAGTCGACACTACTGAGAAGATATCTTTCGAATGCATCCTGAGTTATCTCAATACTCTCATCAACTCACCTCCATCCGATATCCCATCTGTCCGTGTCCTCTCGAGAGCCGAGTCCAGCCACTCGAGCTTCAGCCGCAGCCGAGCTATACATAAATCTTTCTCCATTGAGACGCTAAACTGAACGCACCATCACAGACTCCGACAAACTTCGGTCCTCTACACACGATCCGCTATAAGAATACTCACATGTCGAGCCTCGGGTGTATCTTTTTGATGCCGTTGTAAATATGCCTCAAGCCATTGTAAGCTCCTTCGGGCTGCATAAAACCGCTCGTATTCCTCGCACAACACTTGGATGCTCTCCAGCACTTCTGATGCCAACGCAACGTCTGAACGGTAGGAAATGACCGTGCGCTGACCAATCCTCCTTTCCGACCAAACTCAGCCAACTCTGGTGCATCGAGTGGAGGGAGGTGACTAAATGGCAACTGCGTAGGCATTTCGCAACCTTCCACCTGCTCCAGCACAGCGTGATCGCCATCGAAAGAGCCTACGAGGGAAATAATAATACCGCCAACCTGCTTGTTGCTCACTCAAACGACTGACTGAGTCCGAGAAGCAACAGTCTTCAAAAACAACAGTGTCACCAAGGTGTCCTGAAATACGTCAGATAGCTCGCGCTCACCAAGCACAGGTCTACAGTCCCATACACTATCACTATTCAACGAGGACATACACCTACTTTCCAGCGGTCGGCTGGGTTTCACACGGGCTAGAGGTAACCGATGCTCCTCCTTATAAAGCGGGAGAGGAGGCGGTAGGAAGGCAGGCCGTTGATACACTGCTGATCCTTTCGTAGCCGTATACTCAGCAACAACGAGCTCGCTATCCTTCCCTTCATGGACCGGGGATGCACAACATGAGTGGAAGGACCCCAACGACAAAACCGACATGACAATACCACTACAACAACAAATCGCCTTCAGACCAGCGGATGGCTCGAAGTCGACCCATAGTATTCACAAAACAATGCCTCGAGCTCAGAACTAGAAACATCACTTATAACTTAGAAGGAGCATCCACTGCGATAGGGCTACTGGAACATGCCCTGCTCTGGAGCAACTCCAAGCCTCGTGTACACAACTTGGTGACATAGGCCATACTGAATATGCTACCACCCTTGGCCTGCTGATGCTGTTGAGATGCATTGCCCTTCTTGGTCCGCATCTGAAAATACGTTCACTCACAACGAGTTATACAACTCTTCGATAAGGTTCTACCGCGCAAAAAAGCGGGCCCAGACACGATAGGAGTCATGAACCTCTCCTCCAGAAGTCTATTCTACACACATAATATGCAATTACTTATTCCGCCGCTTAAATGTTCGCTACTGTACATATCATCGCAGCACCCCACAGTCATCCTGTGTGAGGTAGTGACTACCGACCGATATTTCCCTTCAAACTATCAACCAAGTAATGCGCGCCAACTCGGACTACGCCACCGCAGAATACGGAGCGTGTGGTACACCTAATCCTCTCAAAGGAGTGCAAAGTGTTAGGAGAGGAAATGGCAATACCCATCATAACCGCTTCATATGCATCCATAAGTCCTACCAGAACTCCATAGAGGATGCCAGCCATCCTCAAGCACTGGAAGGCCTCCATGTACTGCATCAACCCTTCAGGGATCGACTCCACCTCGCGATAGCGGAGGTATAAATCAAGAAGCTCCCGTTCCTTCGGTATACCTGAATAACCACCAATATGCTTCCACCAGGATTCGAACCATGGCTCACCAAGCTCTTCAAAGTTCGAGCTCAACTGAGCAATGCCCGGATAGAGACCATAGTACTGCGACAAGGCACTGGCTATATCGACTAGACTGTTGCCAGTAGTACTCAATTCCCAATCCAAAACGGCCACCACCTAACCAAAATTTCCCCAAATGAGCTGAAGCCACCCTGGTTACCTCAAATGTGTGAGGATCGTATATGCAGTTGTCCAGACGGAAGTCACCGTGAACGAGGCTTTGGAACTCGGGGCTCTTCTGAGATATCTGATAGATACTATACGGTCGAGTTCTGTGCCGCATTCAGAGAGCTGACCTTGACGTTATCGAGAAGTCCTTTTGCCAGGCGTTTGAATCCTTCCACATCAATGCCTTGAGTACTCCACCTCTCCACCTGCTTACTAACATACTTCGATGGATCACCTGACCACAGAGAGGAGATACCCCATACCAAGCTGAGCACCTCAGCTGACCTCGGAACCTCTGAGTGAGGGCCTCGGAACGATGCCAAGGGAAGTTGTGTACAGCTGCAGCTGTCTTCATGAGGTCCTCATATACCTGCGTACATATGCCCAGTACTACACAACCTTTCAACCAGGGGTGATCCCCCAAAAAACGACTCCGGCGATAACTCCTTCAACGTGACTCACTTTCCGACGCTGGTAGGGCTGCAGGTTGGGTAAATTGGGATCAGTAAATACCACACCCGTCACAAATCTCATAACATAGAAGGCTGCACCTGACCACACAAGGCTATCATAGCGCAGAGGTAGGATACTTCGATGACAATCTGAGGCAGTGGCCCCTAATGATAATCTTGTTCTTAATGATTTGCTCTTTGACACTTGTTCCCCCATTGCCGTTAAAGTCCTGGCGACTCAAGCCACGCAAGGTATTTGTCCGTACGCATTTTCATTCATTGCGTCTTCACGTACGTTACACGAGTTGATCGATAATTGATGGGCTGGAAGGCTCCGGATTGGCCGTGATGGAGGAGCCTCTCCTTGGCTAGCGCCAGACTGTGCTATCCTTCCTCTGGACTTTCTCCACGGGCTATAAACATCGTCTAGTGCTGATGCAAGTGTTGGGGCTATTCACCAGCGGTGTTTGGGTTTTGGACCGAGGAAACGGTGCTGCAAATCTTTTTCAGATCAGAGGCTGTGGGCAACAACGTATACAATCCAATAACAGCCGGAGAGGCATCTCGCACAGTAACCACCCAGTAATAGTACCACAGATTGTCTTATCAGTGCACAGCCCCAGAGTCCGTGGAACCGGTACGCATCCTTCCTTGCCTAACTCCGACATCACCGTATACTCCCGGACAACATCATGGGCCGAGGGGAGCAGCTCTCCTGCATTACAGTACCCCTAAGGTGGATCAGCCATCCTGAGCCCCTACCTGGTGGCTGCTTCCTCAGGACAGCACACTTCTCCTCCAAGAGCTTCTGTAGGGTATAGCCTTCGAGGGGCTGAGGTTATAGACACAAGAAGCTACATAACAATAATAACATTCTATCGCCACTCGATAATCCGACCAAAACAATTCTTCTGAGGACCTAGAGTCCACCAGGCGCCCGTGATAGGGCTAGACACGTAGCTCTATTTGATCACTATTACGATTGTGATTAGGGATTATGACTAATTTACTAAGTCCTATTCATCACGATTAGAATTGAATACATTCTATCGGCACTTCTCTTCGCAGACTCCTCCACCTAGCCCCGCCACACAACGACATGAGATTAACTCATAGCCGAGAAAAAGGAGGTTTCACCGAGCTTACGGCTAACCTACCTTCTCTGGGATAAGCCCTACTAGATACGTCGGATTGGACTGGCCGAAAGAGAACTGCCACGCGAATGGTCGGGCTTGATCCGAAATGCTATCCGGTAACACTCCCAAGGAAGCCAGATACTTCTGCAAAGGGGAGCCACTGGACACATCCAGAGCAAGCCTTGGATGGGGTGTAGATAGGGGAGGAATAATATAGGATGGTAGACCGAAACTGAGTTAGCCGCAGATTAAAAACGGTAGAGGGGACAACGAGGCGTATGCGGATTCGAAGAGCATCCCATGACTACATCTTCCTGATGGTCTCAGTAGCCTCCTCAGGCGTAATGGCATGTCTAGTGCGGATCCCTAGGGATGCCGGTTGGGCCAGATTATGCTTCAAATCATCCAAGTAGAGTACAGCAGAAGCCGGACCGTGATAGTCCAAACGTTCCAGTGCTGTCTTGAATAGTCTGACAGAGCTCCAAATTATATGGGCTTCCATATAACTTCCATCATGGAAGTTCCATACCTCCACGAGCGCCCATCTACACGGTGACTGCTATCACACGATCTAATCATTTACAGCTACATCAATAGAGCCCTATAGAGTGCATCAGCTCCCACGTTCTCCAAGGGATGACCTCCAAAGTTCCCAGTCCTCGCTACACCCAAGTTGTCACCTTTCCCCACCAGGATGTCCTTTGGCCATCCCTTCTACCGCACTCTCTACTATAGTATCGAACAATAGCTCCCCCCTGAGATCTCTCATGGGCCTCAGAGGAGCTGGATGCTTGAAGTTGTTAGTCACCGCACCTATCTTCAACCCAGGGTATTTCAGACGGAGTTCGCTAAGCAAAATTATCATACGAGGACCTGAGCACCGAATAGACGACCAGCAATTCCTCCACAATCCTCCTACTAGGTTCCATTGCCCTTAGCCCCTCGAACCAGCCTATGAGGGCCTCTTGCACTACCGCCTTGCCCTTAGCGAACTGCTCACAAAACTCAGGTATCTATCCATCTGATCCGCCACTACATCTACTACGACCGCTACTCCTACTACCGTCAAGAAGCCGCATTCAAGCTCCTTCCACAGTACAGAGGACACCATACGCCTAGGCAGGCCTGGGTCCCGTATAGATTCGGCAGCAGCCAACAACGGACCAATCGGTGATGGAAATCTGAGGCTATCTACCATTCCATTTCCGTATTGCATGCTCACGTTATTCCACCCAAATCCAACAGTAGGACCTCAGGAACGGTCTCCTCTGAATTCACTTCAACAGACATTGTAATATAAAACACACTGAAGGCATCTCCATCGACAAACTACCATCAAAGTGTCAGTGCCGTCAATGTTAGATTCACGGTAGTAGTATGAAGTAGATAGGCCATACACCGAGTATGTTCGCCTCCACCCACACTATCAGATCAACACAAGGACCCATGAGAAGGCCACCGAAGCATCGTGCTTAAAACGGGACCAGCACAACCTCCCCCTCAGCCGTGCCCACATATATCATGTCATGCCCTTCCGACATGGCTAAACTTGTTACGGATGAAGAGCCCACCTGAGGTCACACACGATGCTCCCGCAAAGGTATCTTCTGCGCACAGTGAAGATTTTCCCATCCTCCACTATATAGCCGTCTGCCGCATCTCTCCGTATTCTATGTACAGAGACCTGAGCCGAGACATTTTCTAGCACTCCCAACCCCCAGGCCCCATCCCATAGTGTTGTTGCACAGTAACTCTGTAACAAAGCCAATACAACAACTTCCGATTAACTCACCACACTCTGCTCAACGGCGTAACGATAAGGAGGTTTCCACGATAGACCCCATGTCCCCAACAGACCACACCCTTCTTACAGTCCTACCACGCCTGTCTCCTCTCCGAACAAAACTAGGCACTCCTCATCGTCGCAAACCAAAGCAACTGCTGTGGGTACGGCTCCACCACCTAGAAAGCTCCTGACCAGAGCAGCGAGCTCTCCAGAGGATGCTACCCCCAGAGGCGCTCAGATCTACGCTATCGACCTTGTCCCATTTCGAGTGGAGGAAGTCTGCCTCTATATCAATGACAATAAGGGCTCTCCCAGATGTGAGGGCGTAAAGTCGTTCAGTAGGGCAGCCACTACCACAATGACACTGCAACAGGAGAATCGACTGGCCTTGGCAACTCCTAAGAGCACCCGATAGGGACGTAGAGACCAGTTACTCTACCGTATCTTCTTCACACCAGCAGGTCTATCTGGGCACATGATGATAGATCCTGCACTACCCCCGGATAACACGTAACCGGCATCGGAATCACCTTGATAAGCAGCCAAAGCCAACACCTACTCGAGGCCTCATTTCGATACAGGATGAGGTCTGCGTTAAGACACCTCCTCAGATTGTTGATCGAACTCCCCCGCACCACCGATATCGCCATGAGTTGTGCATTTGGGAATCGAGGCTCGAACGGAACCCTCAAACTTGGCGGCGACCAACTGCACGAGAACTACATAGTAGTGGTACTGTTAATGACGAGGGACATCACAGGCTCCTCATGAGTCTCTATCGCTATGGTCCACCTCGACACATAGCCGTCGTAAGAACCACAGACGACGGCCCCTCGGCTGAAGGACACCCGACTGTTGTTCCACGAGCGACACAGCCGGGCAAAGGTCGTTAGTAATAGACTATATCAGGAGTGAGTGTGAACAGAGTAATAACACTCGATGACGATCAATGCTTGGTTAACAACTGAAGTCTTCCTTCACTGGCTTATAACTACTACGTTGCACGCATGCACACGAAGTTGCCTACCGCGGAGTACAGATAGCTGTGATGCTGTTAGTATGAGGCTTTGCTCCTTCACGACTAAGAAACACCCGGCCGGCCTGGCCTGCTGCGGAACTCAGTGGTACCAGAAAGACTTCTCCACCTTCCGTACCTGAGCCCAGACGTCACCACCAACGAATGATGGAGGACTTACCGCAAGCCACTGCCCGGCACCACTGCAGGTAGCACATTGCCGTTACCTCAATCGAGTCCCACCCTCGACCGCAACGGAATTCCAGTGGGACTACAGAGGTTAAATGCTACTCGGGATATGTAGTCTCTTACCTTGATCAGAAGGGGCACCTCCCAGGTCCCATAAGCGGATATCTCCATTGATATGGCCAGCCAGTAGGTAGCAGCCTGGAGACGGCTGAGCAGGCATTACTTCGGGGTGGCTGCTCCGACACGACCCACATCTAAGGAACACCCAATGCCTGTATTATGAATCTGGACGAGGTATCCGACTCCTGCTGAGCTATCTCCATTAGCAGTCACACAGAACTTGGTATACCTATTATAAGGTTGTGCTACCCGCACTATACCGAGTCATGCAGTGTCTGACCTCTGAGTAGAAGTAAGAGAATATACACAGACTTCAGGCTTCATAGCATTCAGAACGAACAAAGTCCGCAAGCCACCACCAGACGGCAGGAAGGCAGCATCCACCATAGCACCTACCGAGGCCGCGCAACACTTATACTCATCGCGGGTCAACACCCTCACCCAAAGGGAGGCCTGCGGTATCACACTGGACAGTACAGCCGTTCACAACGTCATACACACAGAAGCCATCCTCTGAGGCGCCGAGCAGTAGACTACTAGCCTGACCCTTGAACGAAGCCATCACGCAACCGCTGTCCCTGGCCTCCACAGCAGGTCTCTTCAGGCGGCTGCTAGATGATAACACTTGATGAGGAATATCCAATGTGATCATCCTCTCCAATGAGCTGGGGTTCAACCCCACGATACTATAGGAATCGCCTATGGCGAATAGAGTATTGTTATCGATCATGTCGAGACCTCCCCCACAGTCACTTAGCAGTAGCAACTTCCGGATGGGACTGGACAAGGCCTCCGCATCCCTGGAAGAGGACACCCGATCTCCCCTAGAGTCGACCTCAACCACCTGTACATGGCCATTACTCATACCACAAAAGATACTTTTCACGACGTCACCCTCGTGCACAGCCATACTCGCTACCCAGGAAGTTGCTTTCCTCGATGCGCCCACCAAGGTGGTCGCCCGATCGTATGCGGGGTACCGTAAAGGAGCGTCAGGTGTATGGCTCGCAGGGCCTGTGATCGTTGGCTGGGCCGTCCACAGGGTCAAGGAACCATCACTACAGCCCGAGACTATATGCCGATTCCCCGACTTGGGAAATAAAGCCATAGACGTTATCGCGCTCGAGTTGCCGTAGATTGTCCTGACCACCGAGTTTGCCGTTATCTCTCTCTGGTTCAAGATCACATGCCATTGCTTTATGGTCCGGTCAACGGAAGCAGTGAAGAGAGTGAGCCAAAAGCCTGGTTCCATCACAGGGATAGGAATACTCCTCCCCACCACAATAGACGTCACTGGACCCGCATGTACCGCCGGTGATCGACGTACCTCCCCAGACAACATTGTGGTGGCATTTCTCAGCGCCGACGGTTTCAAGGTCCAGATGAGTAATCCTCCATCAGTCAAGCCGCTGACGACAGCGACGATTGTGTCCGACTTTGCTTGGTCATTCTGATGAGTATTAGAGAAGACCACGGCGACGGCTAGCGCAGTCGGAGCCGCGGCCTTCGGTAGTTCTGAAGAACACTGGCTACTAAATCTCGAGCTTGGTATTTCCCAACGATGCCGCACAAGTGACAGAATAAGCGATGTGGGTATCTCTCAAGTTAAACGCTACAATGGATGCTTACTGTAGCTGCTTGGGAGACTAAGTGTTCCTCTATTAACCAGCTTCATCTCTTTCCGTGGACCCAACCTACTGCTCAGCGACGATGCCATTGCGGACAGGAACTATCGGACGTCATCCGCACTCATTGGAGACCCCATAACGTGGTACTATGGATAGTATACTCCCATCGAGCTCGCTTCCGACGCGAAGGATCGATGAATACACTGTAGCGAGAAAAGTGCACCTACTCAAAAGTGGCCAAGACTTTCGGCTCGCGTCTCTCTGCTCAAGAGGGTACCACAAATTCTCGCCTTGGACGTCATTCCTCCGAGTGTAATGCAGTAACAATAGCTCTTGCAAGTCCAATAGCCTCCGGTGAGTAACGAGATAGAAGAATCCTTACTTTCAAATCTCAGTAGCAAAAACGGTCCGGATTTATCTCAATGCGAGGCCGATAGGAGTTGTCTCACACCAACGCCCCCGTAATTCAGCTTGTAAGGAACTTTGAATCGCGGATTCTTAGCCTACGTGTCACCGAAAGGCTATCTAATGCTATCCATTCGCAGAAAGATCGAATGGGCAACTTCGACAGGGCCCCTTGGACCATGGACTCCCTAGAAACGACTGATGAGTCCAGCTGAACGCAAAGTCAAATCACACAACTCCCCGAGACACCATGCAACACGAGACACGATTTCCCTTCACCGAGAAAGGGACTTGAGATATAATCAGAGTCCACGATATACAATGAATCACCCAGAGTTTGATTAGCTGGGTTTAGATCTCCCAAAGTTGAGTCGAGTTCACAGGGCAAACTAGAGATCAAACAGTGGGAGCTGCAGTAGTGGCTACTTTAGTTGTCGAGGTTGTGACGATCTGAGTTGTAGACGCTAGAGTACTAGTAATGGCAGTAGACACAGAGGTCGGCGCTGTAGTGTCCTCATAATCGCTGCAGACGCTGGGGCCGCAGAGCTGATCACCAACGTAACAGGCTGGCACATACAGCCACCACTTGCAGTAGGACACGCGATCACCGGAAAGGCCAGGGTTCATTGCGGCACAGTACGCATTGCAGCTTGGACTAGGGCCAGCATGGGAGTCCGGAGGGCCTCCAGTGGGAGCAAGGGTACCGGTAGGACAATCCGATACACCACAGGGCTGATCGCCTCCCTGACAGACAGGCTCATTCTTCCACCACTTACAGAACGAAGATGGTCCATTAAGGCCGACGCAATATTCGTTGCAAGGGGCAGACTCATGAGGGTGGGCACCAGCTGGAAGAGACGGTGTGGGGGCAGGAGGCCACGTCTGGGAAGTACAGATAGTTTGATCACCGCATGGCTGATCGCCACCGAGGCAGGTTGGACGAGGGAGCCACCGCTTACAATACGAAGCCTCATCATTGAGACTCTGGCACATCGTGTCACAGGCTGGCTCATACGTTCCATCACCAGTAGGAACCACATCAGTCGGTGTAACTGTTACAGGAGGACCGCAGATAGCGACCGTACCACAAGGCTGATCTCCCCCATGACAAATCGGTGGGCTCAGATCCAGTTTACAATAGGAGGCACCACCATTGAGTCCCTGGCAGTAGATGTCACAAGTGTTCTGCAAAGTGGCACCATCAACCGGAGCCGAAAATAGTGTTGGAGTCGGAGGTATCGTAGTAGATGGCGAGCTCGTTGACGTCCCCTGCAAATAGCGGTTCCCAACTCCGAAGGCTACAGGGATAACAATGGAGAATATAGCCATTTTGGTCATGATAAGTGTGAGGATATAGATCGACCTACACGACACGTCTTGACCTAAGGATTCCCAAACCTACTCGCCATCTACCTCATCCCATGCAAGGAACTGCAATTATGAGGGCCCCCTCAACAGCACTATCAACTCTGACTCTACATTCCACCGCGGAAGGTAGCAATGTGACGGCCAAGGTAGTCTCTGGTACAATCCCATGAAACCGTAAGATATGCCGTCTCGAATCCTTACCAGTGTGTAGGACAACGAATCCTTCGTAGTGCAGTTCGTCCCAGTTCAACTCGCATCGCGAAACCGTAAGTCAAACTCTTACATAGGTCTGCATGTACTGGCTCTGAGATGGTGATTCGACAGCTACTCTACTCTCTCCCTCTCCTAAGTGGATCTTGTGTTGAAAGTGATGCGCTCTCCCCTGTGTTTGATTCGCTCGCTGAATGCAAAGAAAACCATTAGCATATATCCCCATATATTCTCAATTAAAACAGTCCTTAACAACGAGCAATACATGATTTAATTATCACGTATTCCTGCTCTGAAGCTTCGACCGACTTCTTCTCCATCTCTCTCCATCCTCGCGGGCTTAGTCCACCTGCTGCCATCGAGAGGACTTCCGGTCTTCGCCCTTGCTGCTGCTGCTGCTGCTGCTGTAAAAACCAACCGCATATTTCCTCAGGAAAGTCATTAGCCTCCTCTCCAGCTGAATCTGGAAAAGATATAATACATTCGTATTGAGGCGGGCGGTGTAGAGTTAATGCGCAGCATTCCCAGTCGCGTGGATGGAAGTCCCACGTGTCAAACGACCAAGGGCGATGAAAATACCAAGCGTAGACACCACCTGAGCTACATGCGCTCCATCGCGTTCAGGAGTATTTGGTGGTCCCGGGTTCAAGACCCGGCTGGGACATTTTTTCCGAGCGCGGATCCAGTCGCGCAACGTGCTGCACGATTCATGCGAGATCAGCATTTTCCATATGAGTAATCATTGCTATGCCTCTCCGAATCACATAGGCTGTGGTATCGTACCAGGTCCCCGTGGCATGGCTAAGGAGGGAGTGTAAGGCAGTTGGTGAGAGGCCAGTGAGGGGGATCATAATCATTCAGAACGCCAATTCACCATCACCAGCCGTTCGTAGCGGTCGACCCCGCAACAGCGGATAAGCTCAGTCCTGGAGGAACACAAGCCAACGGGAGGGAGGAAATCGACATCTGTGGGCCTCTGAGCGCCTCTCCTGCGATTCGGTATCATTGTGTTTGCGTAGTGCTCCGGGGGGATTACGTCGTTTCCCCTGATGGCGAGACGACCCTATCCCGGCAACAGAGGAGAGTCGCAGACGAGTAGGTCCAGTCAGTCTGGACGAGAGCTCCTCCGATGTGCATGCAGTTACGCCGATGAGCTTGAGAGACAGCGGCAACGCGCCACGACCGCGAGAGTCCTGGGGAACCGCTGAGCGCAGTCATGTCATTACTATGGTTGTCCGTATGCACCATTGTGTTGGGTTAGGCAACAGACCGTTCGCAGGGATATTCGAGTGGCATGTCAGGTGAGCTTTTATTAACGTATGATTCCTCTTTGGAAAATAGTGAAAGCAGCTACACCGTATCAAATGCGGCCTGTGATGGGTCGAGGTAGTACTGGCCTCCTTATGTTGTGAAAAGAGCCGCAATCATCATCATCGTCATTATCAGAAGAACTCTCGCCACCGTGTCGGTCCCTCAGTTCCCACCCTGCGAGCTCAATACTTCTCTACTGGGCGTAGCCATAGAGCGCGACCAAGCCAAGACTCTTCTACCGAGGCAGATGATGGGTCTATGGACGCAGCAACGGAAGCATCTGGCCACAGAATGGTGGGGTCATTGAGAGGGAGACTGAGTCGACGGAAGCTCCATACAGTGGACGACTTGAGCATGGTCAATCCTGCTGAGTATTGGAAATTCGAGTCGTTCGCCCAAAAACAGGACGAGATAGGGTAGCATTCATGAATGCTATTCTCCCCCTACCTCCCCCGGCCTCAGGACCTTCGCTCTATACTATGTCAGCTTCCTTATGATATTCGTCCTCTCTATGGTGTGGTGGCTTCCGGTGGCGGGCAGAGGTAGTAGGCACTTCTGTGGCTGATGAGAATGTCGATTATCAGATGATGATGACGACGATCCGGCCAAGCTAGCGGAGCTACCCGTCTATCACAGCATCGAGAAGGAATACGTGAGTACTCAGAAATTCGCCCCGGCTCCTCCAGAGTCTTCAAGGCATTGATGCTGAGACGATCATGACAGTTTCTGTAGCCTAGGGCTGTTGGGCGGTCAATCGTAGGGTCGGCTGCTAGGGTCAGCCCGGAACAAGGTTTATCTCGCGAAAAATGCCATCACTGTTCTATTCGACGGCCCCGGCGGAATTGTGGCAGGCTCAAAGGTCCCGGTCATCGAAGCGACTGCATAGCGTAATGCCCGGTCTCTGCTGAGTAACGGGGGACTCAATATGCCCCGCAAGATACGACAGTTGAACGTGAAGGAGGAGTTGGAGATGGAGTGGTTGCGAGAGGTAGCGGATAAGATCAATAGGAAGGAACGGTCGGCTATAGGGAGACAGGTGATAGGACGGTAGCACTGGTCGAGTCTCGATACCTTCCTAAACTTAGGAGAGGATAAAAGTCGAGAGGGATGTCGTCAATGGAGTAGCTCAGGAGAGCTGGTATTGCAAGCAGCGTAAGGCTCAGCAACGAGTGAGCCAGGGATGGGGTCCTCTCCTGGAGTCAATAGGCAATCATGTAGGTGAATGCCCTTGAGGGAGAGTTCCGTAAGGGCGCGGGTGAAGGGCTACATCGCCGAGAGCAGATCGCAGATCAGCTGCTCCAGGCTAAGGCTGCTAGATGGGCAACTCTGCCTGGCAGGGGTGAGCTACTTCCAATATCGCTCATCATACTGTGACTGTGCAACACTGTCAGATACCCTCAAGCATGCCAAGGCCCTTAGCTCAAGACAAGAGCAGGAGAGGACGGCGGAACGAGAGTCCGTAGATCATTTTAAGCGGCAATTGGTAGCTGAGGACTCAGCCCTCCGACGGCAAGAGAGGCTTTCGAAGGAGAGGCAGCTGTTGCAGACCTTCCAGGTAGCCTTCATACTAGGCACCGTGATACTGTTCTCTATTAGGGCATCGATTGGGGGCACCGACGACAGCGATTCGTCAACACTCGCGACCTCGTGGAAGAGGACTTCAAGGGCCGAGCTGCTAGGGCCCTCATAGCCAAGGAGGGCCGTTATCAAGTGAGGCACGGGAGGAAACAACTCCGCTTGGAGTGGCTTCAATATTGTCAGAAGCTCCTAAACCATCGGCGAGCTATGAATGACATGCTTGCTGCAGAAGCAGACTACCTATCACGACAGATCAATCGTCTGGTTGGGAAGAGGCATACCAAAGGGCCACGTTGAATGGTGTTGCTCTGAATGCAATGTTTTGTTCTCCAGTGAGATGACAAAGTACTCAAGGAATCGATCAGGGGAGCGTAGGCCGATCGAATGCGCATGGCAAAAAGCCTGCATTATAAATGTAGCAGTCGTAATATCCCCCGACTTCGTTTCGTCTGCATTGAGTGTCATGCAAATCACGCTCTACCTCCCAGGTGGTAGAGGAGGGGTAGGAAAACCAGACGAGGCGCGGTGTCACTGTGGCACAACGTCATTGTTTTCCTGTTGTTGAGCCCTCTCCAGAATATACTGTACCAACACAAATACCACACCAACGACACATCACCAATCTCATGTTATGGAATCACTCGGTAACACCTTCGGTCACGACTTCTCCTTCCGTTTCGATGACCTAATACAACAAACTCATAGAGGCTCTCA